AAAAAAACCTGTCTTCATCAAATGCAATAGATCTTATAAGAACATGCTCATAGTTACATATTCCTTTAGACCTCTCACCTCACTCTTTTCCTTCTGCTTTTTTATTTTTATATCCATGTCATAAACTCTTTGAATTTTTTAAAATCGTTCATATTTCTAATAGTTGCATCAACACAACTTTATATGCTCATACAATTTGTATAGAAAATCATACACATCAATTAGAAATTCTATGTCTCAGCAACTCTCACTTGTAGTGAAAACCTACGAAATTGGCAAAACTTTAAGTTTGTCTTATACCAAAAATTTAAGAATATGTAATTCTAGGACCCTATGTGCTCCCATAACAATTTTTAAAGTGAAAACAGACACAAGTAATAATAGATTCAATTTGTTTTTAAAAAAGAGAAACATTTTAAGTAGTTGTTGTAAACCTTTATAATTTTATTTATTAATTTATGGTGCTCATAATCAAATCTAGTGTCTCACACATGCCAAGCAAGTGTGCTACTGTTGAGCTACAGMCCCAGCCCCAGATTCAAATCTTTTTTGTTATCACAAAATTAAAACCAACCAACCAAACAAACAAACAAAAAACCAGAATGGATAAATTTCAACCTCATGATAACAGTTAAACATTCAGTGTTTTAACTCAGAAATAAATGAAATATATTATGATACATAAATATACATATATATATGAGACCTATAAATCACATAATTCATAAGCATGTGTCACATTTATTTATGCCTAATTTTTTTTTTAACCATTGCACTTAGACAACTTATGAAAACAGTAACCTTAAACAKAACAGTCACTGGGTATCTGGCTGCTGGTGCCCTCTTCCTCCACTCTCTTTTCCCCGCTGCCATTACGTACACAGCTCTGCTCTGCTCTTCCAACAATGTGTTCTAAGTCATCTCGGACCAAACCAAAGAGCCACCCCAAGATGAACTGAAACCTGTGATCTGTGAGCCAAAGGAAATCTTCTCCCCTGTAACTTGAATTTCTCGTGTTTTGACACAGCAATAGAAGGTTGAGTAACATGAAGAAAACTGGAACACCAGATGCCATTATAAGATCCATTACTTGCATAGGGTTTTCACTGGGTTTTGTTTTGTTTTGTTTTTTGTCTTTTGTCTTTCAAAAAAACTGGGAAATCAGACCRTTTTCACATTCAAGGCTTTTTCTCCATTATGAGTACTTTCATGCATAGGAAGGAAAATGGAATGTCCACACATTCAGGAGGTTTATTTGCCAGAGCAAGCGAAATGGTTCTGAAGGCAACTAAGAACTTACATATACTCATTCAGATTTGTTGTAGTGTGAGTCCTTTCTTGCCATTGAAGGTGACTAGAAATATTAAATGATTTGCTATTTTTTTTTTTTTTGCATTCAATGCCTTTTCTCCAGTACAAATTTTTTCATGCGTACAATGGGAACTAATAATGTAAGGCATTTTCCATTCTTTCCTCTAATAGGGTTTCCGTCTAGTATGAGTTGATGCTTTGSAATAAAGACTTTATTACTCCATTTACAAACACAGGGCTTCTTTCCCTTATGAATTTGTTCATATTTTTGAAGGTGAATGGGCCTATTGAAGGTTTTACCAGTTCATTTGTAGGACTTCTCTTCAGTATGAGTTCATTCATTGTCTATGCAGATGAATAACTGAAGGTTTCACCACACTGTTTATATTCACAGAACTTCTATCCAGTATGAGTTTGTTCATGTATGTGAAGGTTGCTGGATTTAGTGAAAGCTTTTCCACAGTGTTTACACTGATAGGGTTTCTCTCCTGTATGAGTCCGTTCATGTGTATGAAGGTGAGTGGACCTAGCAAAGGCTTTTCCACACTGTTTACATTCATAGGGCCTCTCTCCAGTATGCGTCCGTTTATGTGTGTGAAGGTGACTAGATGTTGTGTAGGCTTTCCCACACTGTTTACACTCATAGGGCTTCTCTCCAGTGTGAATTCTTTCATGTTTTTGAAGGTAAGCAGAACTAATAAAGGTTTTCTCACATTGTTTACATTCATAGGGCTTCTCTCCAGTATGAGTTCGTTCATGTATTTGAAGGTAAGCAGAACTACTGAAGGCTTTCCCACATTCCTTACATTGGTAAGGCCTCTCTCCAGTATGAGTCTGTTCATGTGTTTGAAGGTTAGCAGAACTAATGAAGGCTTTCCCACATTGTTTACATTGATAGGGCTTCTCTCCTGTATGAGTTCGCTCATGTGCATGAAGGTGAGTGGAATTAGTGAAGGCTTTCCCACACTGTATACATTGATAGGGCTTCTCACCAGTATGACTTCGGTGATGTTTGTGGAGGTGACTGGATGTAGTGAAGGCTTTCCCACATTGTTTACATTCATAGGGCTTCTCTCCAGTATGAATTCGTTGATGTATTTGAAGGTAGGAAGAACTAGTAAAGGATTTTCCACATTGTTTACACTCAAAGGGTTTCTCCCCAGTATGAGTTCGTTCATGTTTATGAAGATGACCAACTGTATTGAAAGCTTTGCCACACTGTTTACATTGATAGGGCTTCTCTCCAGTATGAGTTCGCTCATGTATTTGAAGGTAAGCAGAACTAATGAAAACTTTACCACACTCCTTGCATTCATAAGGCTTCTCTCCAGTGTGAGTTCGTTCATGTACTGGAAGATAATTGGAACTAGTGAAGGTTTTACCACACTGTTTACACTGATAGGGCTTCTCTCCAGTATGAGTTCGTTCATGTGTGTGTAGGTGAGTGGATGTAGCAAAGGCTTTCCCACATTGTTTACATTGATAGGGCTTCTCTCCTGTATGAGTTCGCTCATGTGTGTGGAGGTGACTGGACTTGGTGAAGGCTTTCCCACATTGTTTACAGTGATAGGGCTTCTCTCCTGTATGAGTTCTTTCATGTAATAGAAGGTAATTGGAACTAGTGAAGGCTTTCCCACACTGTTTACACTGATAGGGCTTCTCTCCTGTATGAGTTTGTTCATGTGTGTGTAGATTACTGTACTTATTAAATGCTTTCCCACATTGTTTACATTCATAGGGCTTCTCTCCTGTATGAATCCGTTTATGTATTTGAAGGTAAGCAGAACTTATGAAGGCTTTCCCACATTGTTTACATTCATAGGGCTTCTCTCCTGTATGGGTTCTTTCATGTATTGGAAGGTAAGAGGAACTAGTGAAGGCTTTCCCACATTGTTTACATTCATAGGGCTTCTCTCCAGTATGAGTTCGCTCATGTGTTTGAAGGAAAAAATAACAAGAGAAGGCTTTCCCACATTGTTCACATCCATATGGTTTCTCTCCTGTGTGAGATTGTCCATGTTTTCGAAAAGACCTGGAACAACTGAACTCTTTTCCGCATGTCAAACATTTATAAGGTCCACTTACGGTGTGCACTGCTACTTGTCTTTGAATACTCTTGAGAGAAGTTAAAGATTTTCTCTTCTGTTTAAGTTCAGATGGCTTCCTTCTACTCTCCTCATTCTCAGATGGTATGATGTGGCTATTAAAATAAAAAAGAAACATGAAGATGTGTCTACACACCTGCTTTCACATGGACYTACTCTAGTAGGAATATCCTTTTTTAAAGTAAATTTGAAATCTCACGGAAGGTTTTTCCACACTGAGTACCTAATTTTAATTTTCCAGAGCCTACAATGATTTCTATAAAAAGTTACAAGCAATATTAAGGGTTAGGTCTTTATTTCTTTTGTATTTATTAATAAGCCTTAGAAGTATATCATTACTAACATCAGAGAGTCTGGATTTACAGTCATGTCTAAACTTTGAAGGTAAATGCACTGATTAGTCTGCAACCCTGATTCCCCACAGGTACTACAGAAAGAGTAGTATCACAAATGCAGCAAACAGTACTGGCAGCACATCAATTATATTGAACATACTAAAATTCAATCCTATTCATTTTGTATTCACATTTCCAATACAGAAWTTCCAGGAATAAAAATATTTCATTTGCGTTTATTTGGTTTGTTAGCTAGTTCTTTAAGGTATAAGACATGCACAGTTCCCTTAAGGGATTCTGCTTCCTCTTGGGAGCATAAATTACCTTAGATCTCTCCCAGGAATTGTGTTCTGTTCTTCAACGTTCTGGTCCACCCATTTGTTTCCTAAAATGTTGGCACAGAATAATCATTATGAATTAATGTAGTTTAAGAATAAATTACAACCCCGGCAGTGGTGCACACCTATAATCCCAGTGGCATGGGAGGCTGAGGCAGGGGAATCACAACTTCAAAGCCAGCGTCAGCAAAAGCAAGGCACTTAGCAACTCAGTGAGACCCTGTAGGTAAATAAAGTACAAAATAGGGCCGGGACTGTGGCTCACTGGTCGAGCCCCCTGAGTTCAATCCCCAGTACCCACAAAAAAAAGAAAAAAGAAAAAAAAAGACTAAATCACAGGAATCACACTGCTAAGTGCAATGAAATCTGGCCTGATTCGCTCCCAGAGTAAAGTACACATTCTTAACTTGTGAAAAGAAAAATAAAAGTCCACATAATCTGCATTTGATTATGTAAATGTTATCATTCTTACCTATAGAAGCCAGATTTCTAAGGACTTCCTGCATCACATCCCTGTGGAGATTCTTCTGGGAAGGATCCAACAAAGCCCACTCCTCCTGGGTGAAGTTCACAGCCACATCCTCAAAGGCCACTGAGGTCTAAAATATTACAAAAGTACAGTGCAGGCCAGGAGAGATTGACAGCATGAAGAATCTACTCTCTACATGCAAGATGTTCATATGATTTTGTGGTCTCCAATCTCTCTTTCATTATTTGGTCATCAAAACTTGTATTCTCTATCCATACTCAGTCTTCAAACAGAGTAATTCTTATATAAGAACGAAAGTACTTAGAAAATTAAGAGCAGAGCAAAAATACCCTTCTTGTTGTGGAGAACAAAGAGTAAGGTATGCTCCTGGGTCACCCATAATGTCTTCAAAGGGTGCATGTCTGCACATCATTTTTTTTTCCTTTCTTGAGGGTGCTGGGGATTGAACCCAGGGCACTATGCATGCCAGGCAAACATTCTACCAACTGAGTGATATAATGAAGCCACACTACCTCATGTGCAGAAGAGAGTTAATATTAGTCCTGATAGGAACTACTGTAAGAAATGCCTACTGACTAAAGTTGCATCTTTGCTGGAAGGGGAACAAAGGATGGAGAGGGATCCCAACAAACTAAGCAGTAAGGCTGAATCACAATGTAAGAGTCTATTTAGTGAAACTTTGCTTTCCTTTGGAAATTCTATTATTATGCTCCAATCTTATGTTAGAACTTAAAAAATTCAAAATCCTTCCTACCAAAACAGAATCCTCTGAGCAAAGACTTTAGGAACTTCCCTAGTACGCGACATTTCATCCAGGTACTCACAACATGGTATCTGGGGATTGAGCTCATCCTGTGTGACTACAGCAAAAGAATAAGTATAATTTGAGGTGCTTTAATCAACATCAAATTTAATCAAYTAGGAAGCAACAACAGTGATCAATAAACAATTTGATAATTTCTTCTGATTAATATCAAGATACAGTTGGGTAACTGTCAAATACCTTTACTGACATTTAACAAACAGAATTTCTAGTAATCACCAGAAACTACTTTTCCAAGCCAAATGAAAATAAGAAATGTGTAACACCTATCCAACTGTGGTAGACAGCAGACTGTTGGTTTTTCCAATATACAGTCAGGTGCCACATGAGTATGTTTTGGTCAAAGACATTTGGTGTTAATAATGGGCTACATACATATGGTTATCAGTAGTAAAGGGATAACTGATGTGTTTATACTGATGGTGGTACAAACAAACATACTGCATGATCACCTTTGGTATCTTGTAACGTAAGATGCTGTGCAAGGCTGTGCCTAGGAAGCACCTTCTCCACAGAGCCTAGGTCTGTAACAGGCTATTCCTTCTAGGACTGTGTAAACACACTTTGGTGTTTGTACAATGGTGAGAAAGAAAATGAATTTTTAAGTTGATAATTTCTTCTGATTAATTATCTAATTATTTCTCTGCTAATCCTATGCTATTTTCAATAGTATATCTTAGATGTTCTTTATTTATAATCTGGTGTCACTTAAACATTGTGACTATAAATAAAGAACATCTAAGACATACTATTGGAAACAGCATAGAATTAGCAGAGTGATAAACCGAGAGAACAAAAGAAAAAAAATTAGTGCCTTGGAATTCATATAGATGAGTAATAATATAACTGGTAAGGTATACAAGTGGAGCCATTCACAAGCAATTCAGAAGATGAGTCAAGACAAACTAGTATCTCATTTTTTAAAAATGCATTACTTCCCTCCATTCCATAGACAAAATATAAATTCATTACAGATTCTGATGTGAAATACAAAACTAAAACACTTTCAGAAGCTTACAGGAAATATTTTCCTAGAGGAATAGGGAAAACATTTTTATATAACAAGAGTAAGCAGTAATGAAGAATGAGAAATTCAGACATTAAAATTAGAGGAATTAAAAGATGAAAACACCTGCAAGAGGGGAGACACCTGCAATATGCGACACAGAGAGTTAGGGTGCC